CCCAGCTGAGTCAGAAGATTAAGGGGCTGCCATCTTGTGACAGATGGATTAAGGAAAAGAAGTGGGGGAGAAGAGAACTTGGAGAAAAATAGGGGAAAGACGGAGGCAGAAAGAGGAAGCGGGAGGGCAGGAAGGCCTAAGTTCATAGCAGCTGGTGAAGTTTATTGGGCAACCTCTTAATTTGTTTTAATTTTTATTTATTGTGAGAAGGGCAATCTCTTAAGACCATAGCTGGGGGAGCCCGGGTGGCTCAGTTGGTTAAGCATCTGCCTTCGGCTCAAGTCAGGATCCCAGGGTCCTGGGATAGAGGCCCATGTTGGGTTCCTTGCTCAGCGGGGAGTTTACTTTTTCCTCCCCTTCTACCCCCACTTCCCCTCCTGCCTGTGCACACACTCTCTCTCAAATAAATAAATAAAATCTAAAAAAAAAAAAAAAAGACCATAGGTGAACTCCTTTCCTATCACCCTTCTGTCCTCATGGACACCCTCGCCTGTGTAGGCTATGCACAAATCCTTACCTTCTGAGGCTTCCAGAGGACCTGCTAACTTCTTAGGGAACTGATGATGTACAGGGGGCCATGTTTTGTTTTGTGCTTTAAGCCACAGCTGCCCAGAACTATCCGAGGCCTAAACAAGTGGCAGCCAGGCACACGGTAGGCAGCAACACCCTGTGAGGTGACGTGAATACTCGCCATGTAGTTTCTACATGACCCAAGGAAAGCAAGACCCTCCAGGCATATCTGAAGAGGACACAGTGAGAAACTGCCATCAACGGAACAGTCCAGAATCTGGCAGCCAAGTGGGAAGGCGCCAAGAGTACAAGCCATGGGACCATGGGCACCACAAACGACACCACAAACGAGTGGAAGCTCTGAAGCAGGGGTGAGGATCTCAGACAAGGAAAAGGAAGCAGGCAAATCTAAAGAAGCAGAGGTGGAGACGCTGAGACACAAGCATGGTTGACTTCTCGATGCTGCTGGGAGGGCACCACGGCTGTCTGACCATTTAACCTGGAAAGAGGAGGACCCCGGTTCACGTACACCCGGTACAGGAGCCACCAGCCACAAGTACAAATAAATGATAATTGGGGTATACTGGATTAAGTACAATATTTATTTAAATCAATTTCCCCATTTGTGTTTGTTTGTGTAGACTTTATTTATTTATTTATTTATGAAAGACACAGAAAGGCAGAGACACAGGCAGAGGGAGAAGCAGGGTCCCTGTGGGGCTCGATCCCAGGATCCCGGGATCACAATCTGAGCCGAAGGCAGATGCTCAACCACCCAGGTTGAGCCACCCAGGTGCCGTGTTTGTTTCTTTTAATGAGGCTACTAGAAAATCTAAAATTACATACATGGCTCACATTATATTTCTATTGGATGGTGCTGTTCTAGCTCCCTGAGGCCATTTTGGTTGTGAGATATTTTTTGTCCTGGCCTATTCTTTGAGAATCCTAACAAGCCCCCGATCACTGCGATGAACTAGAACAATCTTAAAATGTCCCAAACAACCAACCAGCCAATTCATACATCAATAAGGAGCCCCTTCCAAACAAAATCTGATTTCCACAGAACAGGAGTAATAGTTAAACAAGACAGCCACTTCGGTTTCAATTCCCTTCCCTCTTCATGAGCAGGCCCTGTACTCAGGCTCACCCAGGTCCTGCATGTGCCAGCTGCACCAGTGAGAGGGCACTGGCTTCCAGAAAAGATCCTTCATACATATAAAACAGAAACTACTTCAAGGGCTGTCTTCTAAGTTTTTGAAAAGCACGGAGCAGTACATTGACTTTCTATAGCTTCACTGCTAACCAGAAGTGTAAGAATCCATTGCTAGTAGATAAACCAGGGTGAGAAAACAGGCTTTTATCTTTAGGTTTCTGTTCAACGAACTGATTAGAATCATCCTTTAGAATCTAACTCTCGGAGTGGAAGAGACTCACAGGCCATCTTGTCTAACACTTGATAAATGAGCTGCTTTTGCAGCATTTCCCCTCTGTTTCTCCATATCACTTGGGCTTGTTCACCACTGAGGAAGCTACTCATTCCAATCCCAGATTGACAGGTTTTTAAATCTCCCACCACTGACCCTAGATTCTTCTTCCAAATGAACAAATTTTTTAGTTATATGAAGACAACGATCCTTCTTCAAATCTGTTTCAGATTGAATAAACGTTTTGTCTTGGTTCTTTCTAGAAAAAAAAAAGAGGGGGTACTGGCCTTTTATCCTTCTTGGGTACCATCTTTGGAACTGCTTTGTCAACATCTCTCCTTAAAATATGGTGCTCATACCTGAACAGTCTACATCATGCTTTATCCTCACAACACTTAAGACGGAAGTGGGGTTTTTCCTCCCTTATTCTGGACACTATAATTCTGTTGAAACAACTATATGCTTGTGACTCCTCCACCTCACTTTCTTGAGTCCTGATATCTTTTATCACTGCAACATTACCCCTTCCAGCTTTTGGAAAACCACAGATTTAAAAAGCACTCTATGAGATAACACCTCACACTTGTGAGAGTGACTATTATTAAAAAGACAAGAAATATCAAGTCTTGGAGGATGTGGAAAAAAGGGAACCCTCTTGTACTGTTGGTGGGAATGTAAATTGGTGCAGCCACTCTGGAAAACAATTTGGAGGTTCCTCAAAAAATTAAAAATAGAACTACCCTATGATCCTATTGCTGGGTATTTATTTGGAAAAAAATACTAGGTAAAAAAGATATGGCACCCATGCTCATTGCATTATTTATGATAGCCAAGATATAGAAATAACCTAAGTGTCAATAAGTGGATGAATAAATAAAGGAGATATGAAATCTCTCTCTCTCTCTCTCTCTCTCTCTCATCTATCTATATAATGCAATGTTACTGCACCATAAAAAAGAATGAAATCTTTCTATTTTTAAAAAATTTGTCTCATGTCAATTGAATTATTAGACCAGTCAGAAGAACTTTGAAGAAGAGGGGTAAATTTTTCCTCTCTGACAGTATATTTGAAAATTGCTAAAAAAGCAATTCTTAAAAGTTCTCATCACACATACCAAAAATTCTTGTCACAAGAAAAATAAAGTTGCAATTATATGTGGTGATGGTTGTTAACCAGATTTCTAGTGGTGATCATTCTGCAATATCTACAAAGAGCAGTATACCTGGAACTAATATAATGTAATATGTCAGCTATATCTCACTTAAAAAATAAATCTTTAAAATAAGTAAAGAGGCTGTTTTCAAGTGTTTGAAAAAAAAGGGTCCTAAGTCTATAAAGGTTTGTAAACAACAGTTAAGTATCTGCAGGGATCCCTGGGTGGCGCAGCGGTTTGGCGCCTGCCTTTGGCCCAGGGCGCGATCCTGGAGACCCGGGATCAAATCCCACGTCGGGCTCCCAGTGCATGGAGCCTGCTTCTCCCTCTGCTTGTGTCTCTGCCTGTCTCTCTCTCTCTCTCTCTCTCTCTCTCTCTGTGTGACTATCATAAATAAATAAAAATTAAAAAAAAAAAAGAAAAGTATCTGCAATGATTCACAGCCCTGGCTGTCCCAGAGAATTACCTGGAGACAGAACAAACACCTAAGGTGAGGTCTACCCTAGAAGTTAGGCCCTATGGGAAGTGGGGTCTGGCCTTATGTATTTTTAAAAGCTCTGAGTGAATGTAGAATGCATCCAGGGTTGAGCCACTAATCTCAAGAAACCATGAATCTGGTCCTCATATTGATTCAAGTTACTTCTCCCTTGAACTATGAATCTGAATTTTTATTTTGAATTGAACTAGTAGGACTGAATCAGTTCACTATAAACAACTAAAGGTCATTCAAATCGGTTAGAACTTGGACCAAAGGAAAGGTGCAGTTAATTTAGTAACAACTGAGATCTAATGGAAATAAAAAGAACATCAGGCTTAGGAGACCTGGTTTATATCATTTGCATGATCATTCACTAGCTGGGTAGCTTTTGAGCATATCACGCAATCACACTGCAGTTTCTCTGTCTATACAATGAAGGCACTGGTCTAGAAATCTTTAAGGTGGAGATCCCTGGGTGGCTCAGTGGTTTAGCACCTGCCTTCGGCCCAGGATGTGATCCTGGAGACCCAGGATCAAGTCCCACGTCAGGCTCCATGCAGGAAGCCTGCTTCTCCCTCTGCCTGTGTCTCTGCCTCTCTCTCTCTCTCTCTCTCTGTATTTCATGAATAAATAAAAAAAATATTTAAGGCCTTCTAAATTTCTGATTCAATTCCAGGAAAGAAATTGCAAAGAAGTTTTAAAGTCATACCCTGCTCCCAGTTTGAAAGCCTGTGAATTTAGCTATTGGAACTTCAACAGGAGCGAAAGTATTATTAAAACGTACACATTGTCATTCAAATTTACTGTATAATATTTATCTCTGATTGTAAATGACATCACACTTCGGGGAGAATTGGGTTTAGTCTTTCATATGCACAGCAGGCTTTCCCTCAATCCTTTGCCCTATCCAAGGCTGCAGCACACATCTGACATGGGTCTGTGGATCCAGAAATGCAGCTTGGCATATGAGCAAAATCCAGTTAGACAGCTGAGCTCCACCTCTGCCCTGCTAATCCCTACGCCTTAGTTTCCTCATCTGTAAAATGGAGATGAATTATATCATCAGTGATATCTGTGAGCAGAACTGCTATAAAGTTTTTTTTTAATATTTTATTTATTTCATTCATGAGAGACACAGAGAGAGGCAGAGACACAGGAAGAGGGAGAAGCAGGCTCCCTTCAGGGACCCCAATGCAGGACTTGATCCCAGGACCCCAGGATCATGTTACAGTTGCCTGTAACACCCAGTGAGGCAGATGCTCAACCACTGAGCCTCCCAGGTGCCCCTATAAAGATTTTTTTAAATTAACATTTGAAACTATAAAGATCTTTGAAATAACCTTTTGGTTTTTTACTATTTTTTCAAAAGCAGCTCATTCAGTATTGACTGTGCAATGTTCACTCAGAAGAACAAAAGTTAAGAGACTCACATACCTGGGATCCTATTGAGCGTCACCCAGAAGTGTTCATCAGGACTGTAAGTGTCTTTGGACCAGGAGAGCAAGTCAAGTGCATGCTGGTCTTGGAGGACAAAGTTGGTGAATTCCCTGGTGAGGGCCACATAGGCAGTGCCGAAGTAGATGGTCATGTTGTGAGGAGGTGGGGTCTTTAATTGTGTTGTTTTAAGCATGTAGGAATTCTTTTTGCTTAAGAGCTCCCGGTGGACGTACTTGGTCCGTCCAATGGCATGAGCAGGGGGCAGCACCCCGGGGGTGATGTTTTTCCCTTTAAATCCTTTCAGATACCGAACGATCTCCTTGTTGGTCTTCAGGGGGAAATCCTGGCCACACGTGTTGATGGCGTACTTCCAGGGCACCTCGGATGCCCCAAGGTCTTTAAGGCAGTTCAGGTCTGCCTGGAGCCTGGAAATCCCACCATAGACCACGGGCTCCATCTTCGAAGCCAGAAAAGCATTTGGGAAGCAGCTGAGCAATTGCTTCACTGCATTTTTAAATGTGTCTGTTGCCTTTTCATCCACATGCACACAGTAGACATTTTGGGGCATGTAAATCGCCCTGAAGAGTCTCTCAAAAGTGTCAAAGTCTTTGTGGATGGTCACTGTGTAAGCCAGAGGGAACCCTGCCTCCTCTTCTGATAGTGTTTCTGTTATATAGTGACTTTGAGCCATATACTCGTAACAGGTAGAGTCACTGAGAGTAGTTTTCAGTGCGTTCCCCGTTGGGTAAAAAACCCTCCCCTTAAAAATCTGGTGACAGACTTCTGTTAACGCCGAAGCATTGGACAGAGATGCCCTCAGAAAATGCTTCTCCTCCCATAACTTGTGATTGTAAACAAATACAAAAATCAGGGCAGTGATAAGAGACACAGTGAAAAGGTAATGCTTCCAAGAGACCATCATTCAAGACCAGAAAGCAAGGAAAATGTCTCCTGAGATCTGATCAGAGTGTAGATATATTCAACTTACATGTTCTCCAGAATCCGTAGATCATCCTCTTGGTTGACGTGATTCTGAGCAGCTATTCCCAGTGCCCTTCCAGGTAACCGTTTGGACCTTTTTCCTGTCTTTGCTTCTCATTCGCTGCTGTGTTTCATTTCCACCTTTCTTTGACACATTTCTGAAGTAGCTCCTTTGGATTTGCTTTGCTCCGGCTCCCAGTTCACCATGCAACCTGTTACCACACGAAAACAAGCCGTCTTGGGGAGGTTCTGATTCTGAGGTGTCCACCTTTCGCTGCTGGAAAGTCAGCGAAGAGTGAGGTCACCATTCTGCAAGTCAGCGCCCCCAAGACTTTCTCTCCTAGCCTTTTCTTCCAGCCAAAGGTTGGCAACTGTGTCAGTTCCCCAACTTCCTGTTAATCATTGCGTTCAACTGACTGGCTTTGTTTGCTTAAACAGCACTGCCAAGTTAAAAGCTTCAGTTCTAAGCATGTGAACACTGCCTGGAGAGACATTCTGTCAATAAATATTTAGTGCTTAAAAATTAATCGCTTAACCTGTCTTTTTCCACACACACACTCCGACCTCCCTATATCGACTGGGTATGCTATAAAGCAAGACATGTGATTGGCTGTTGAGCCAAATTCTTTCCAGGGCTTAATTGTCTCTGCTGCTAGTAAGGTCCTTAGAAAGGCACATTTGCAAAATTACCTCACCACCTAACTTATTACACAAAGTGACTGGGGTGCTTGATGAATTAAGGTTAATTTAAAAAAAAATATATATATATATATATATACCCCCCAAAACACCCCACCTCAAACATCCGTCCCTACCCCAAAGTTATATAAAGGCTAAAACTGCAGTTTGTGAAATGCCAAGTTGATCTAACCTGAGCCCAAGTTGTGGGTATGTAGAAAGCTAAGAGAGAGACAGCGTCTCAATCTGGGAAGTTCCAAAACTCACAGAGAGAGGTTTTTATGAATTTACAAACCCCCACAAAGGGTTTTTCCCTATGAAAAAAATGAAAATAATTTTACCACCTGCCTAGGTTAGTCATGAGAATAAAATGAAGTAACATGAAGAGTTCAGGGCCTTGCCCAGCAACCAGTTGAGGTGAGAGAGAAGAATGAACAAAAGTCCCTTCCCCATCACGTGTCAAGAAAACGACACAATCACCCCCACTCTGTTGAAACCTTTTTACACTTCCCTTATTCTTCCTTCTGTGAGCCCGAGCCTGTTAGATGAAATGTCAAAGTTAACACTGATCAGTTTTAGTATATTTGGTGGTTAGCTGCATGGGGGTGTGAACGTACGCTGTGCATACTTGCAGAAGTGGTGGGTTAGCACTGAGCTCACATAACCTTCATCTGTTTCTAGCTCCCACCACTGTCTGCACATGCTAGACAATCAAATATGTATTGATCGAGTGCTCTAGTTTTCATTTCTCTGTTTCCCTGATCACATTAGCATGAGATTCCAAATATTAAGGACTTCTAATCTTTATTTGTATCTATGGATGTGGGTACATTCAACATACTTATTTTCCCAATACATCTTAGTTATAAAGACAACATACTATTACAGAGAGTTGGTAAACACAATGTTTTCATGTCTGGTAGTCTATTTACCTCTTGCCCACAGACACACACATTTTGATTTTTGTGCTCAGGGTAGATGCAAGTGCACATCCTGCATTTTGTGTTTAATGTCATAGCCTAATATTTCCATGGTGCTACTCAGTCTTCATGGGGTATTGTCTTCACAATCATTACCTTAGTTCTAAGACACGAGACTGGGATAATTATTTGTTGTTTTTTCCCACCTCAGTTGAAAGCTTTATGCATTGGTGAAGGGATCTTCGGGAGCACAGGAAATAATGATAAGAATAGATGCTGGGAAATTCTCCAGAACTAGGTACATCAGTCTCACTGGTTTCTGGAATCTGATTCTATAGCATGATTCAGACTCACCATCTTGTCTATATGATCCCAAATAGAATTAAATCAACCCAAATACCTATTTCCATAACTATCTCTCATGTGCGTACCTACAATTCTTTTGTACTAATCATCTCTTCAGTAAGGTACTCATATAAGAATAATCTTTTCTGAAATGATGACTAAAATTTCTCTTGTTTAAAAAAAAAATGTTACTATGCCTCTAAGTCTCTGTCCACATCAAATGAAAGGGACCAGGGATGATTAAATGAAGCCATCAATACCTAACATGCTTATCTAAACTAGCCAAATTTTTACGGCTTCTCCTCTTAATATATCCAAATAACTTCCTGTGTTTATTCAGGCTATCACCTCATTCTTGGCACAGTCCCATCCCTCCAGACATTTCATATAGAAATGCATCTCTCACAGTTTGCTGGCTCTCCTCTGAATCTACAATCCCTGAATTTATAGTTACAGGGCAAAAAACAATTACAGTTTAGTACTCTGCTTAGTAGTTAACTGTACCTCACCTGACCTGCTACAAGGGTCCTCTGATTTTAAGCTCTAGAAACATTCACAATTAATTAAAATAGAATCTTCAACAATACTAAACATTTATTTATTTTATTTATTTATTTATGTTAAAGATTTTATTTATTTACTTGATGGGATGAGAGAGAGAGCAAGCATGAGCAGGTGGGGAAGGTTAGAGGGGGGAAGGAGAAGCAGGCTCCCCATCGACCAGGGAAGCCCATGTAAGGGCTCAATCCCAGAACCCTGAGATCATGACTTGAGCCAAAGGCAGATGCTTAGCCAACTGAACCACCCAGGTGCCTGGTAACAATGCTAACCATATTTTAAAGAATTAGTACCTAGCTTCTTCTTTTTTTTTTTTTTTTTTTTGTTTCCATCAACCCAATCTATCTGCTGCTTAACTTCCTGGTAAGCATGTAGGAAATGTGGGAAATGCTTGTTCTGATCCTCCTGGCTTTCCTGAGGCCCTATGCAATGTACCTCTAATCATCCTTCTAAATCCTGAGCTCTGGGCTCTTGCACTTATGAGAAATCATAGAAGAGGATGGTAATGGGTGACCATAAAAAACAGTGTGATTCTTCATCCCAGCTTGAGCATTAGATCCAAATGAATACCCTCAATTCTAAATTGGAGGCAGTAATCAAGTAAGATGGAGTTCTGAAGAAACGGAATTTGTTCTGACTGGTGGCTTGGTCACTCAATAAATAGTAGGTGTATATTTACGTCCCCAGAGTTCAGCCTGTGCTTACTTATTAGCATTCTTTTAAGTTTATTTTTTAGTAATCTCTACACCCTACATGGGGCTCGAACTCCCCACCCCAAGATCAAGAGTCACATACTCTTTCGACTGAGCTAGCCAGGCGCCCCATTATTAATGTATACTATAAATCCTTATCCTGGGCATAAATTAATTTTTGGTCCTCTAAGAAAACTGCGCTTAGAGTTTAATCTCGACAACTGATTTTAGAAAGGGAGCAGAAGGGCCCCATTTCTACAGATGTGGATAAGCTACCCATGATCCTCATTTTACTTATTCTTGGGGCCACAGGATGCCTAAAGCACTTTTTACATACTTCACCATGACATCGCCTCTATGCTCAAGTTAGAAAAACTAGGGAAGCCACATGGATATTTGCTCAGAGTCTACAAAAGTCTCGTTGAGATCGCAGGGAATGAGCGTCTTGGATTAAATTGGTTTTACATGCTCTTGACATTTTGCCTTTTTTCGTTATTCCAGCTCTTGCCCTGCCCTGGCTCTCCTCTCCTCCTCTTCTTTCTATTGATGTATTTACTATTGTTAAATTCAGTACCCTGTCTTATCCTCACCAATACTTTTTTATAACCACAGGAAACAGCCTGAAACAAGAATATAGACTAGAAGAGCCCTGGATTCTGTGTCAGAAAGTCTCCAGTTGGACCAGTACCACCATGGATAGCTCAGAGCCCCTGCACAAGGTATTGGATCTCACACCTCACAACTGGAGTTCAGACCTCACAGGAATGTCATGGGGAACTAATGAAGTAAAAGTACATTTTAACCACCAGACAGTGCCAAATACTTTATTAAAGTCTGGAAACATTTTCCCCTTGCTGAAAGAAAACTGAGGAACATACTGTAAATCATTAAATTAGAAATGAACATTGTCCTTTAATAAAAATTAAAAGTTGTAATTAAATATATGTGGATATTAATGAGTTAACAGGACAAATGGAAAAAATCCCAGTCCCCAGTAAGTACATGGCATAATGGGACACACTACTCTGAGCTAGTCTTTGAAAAGCCTTTAGAAATGGAAATCCTGTGTACCACTATCCAATGATTCATTCACTCATTCGACAATCATCTTTTGTGGGCTAACTTTATGCCAGGCAATGTGCAAGTTTCTAGAAATATAAAACATAAAGGCAACCCACATGAATATAATTCTATTGGGTCGTATACTGTTTGGGATTAAACAGAGATAACGGTGTGCGCCTCTCCCTCCAATCTCTTCTCCCCAATAATTTTTCCTAAATTAATTTCTCTCTCTCTCTCTCTCTCTCTCTCTCTCTCTCTCTCTCTCTCTCTCTGTCATTCCCAGGTAGATGAAGTTGCCCAGATGCATTCCAGAGCAAATACCTCCTTCTCTTCAAGGTAAAGGCAGGTTAACCAAATTAACCTTAATATTTAGAAGTGGGGTAACGAAATGTGGAAGCACAGTGCTCTGTTTGCCTTTAGTCCCACCCCAAAGGACTGGCCTGGGAACCTAAGAAGGATCTGTGCCTGGACTCTTGATGTGTCAAGTCACTGTTATCTAGTTACTACTGGTTTATCCCTTCCCTTCAGAATCCAGAAGGGCTTTGAATCTAATGCTTCCAATCCCGAAGAGGTTAAAAGCAGTTGCATAGGGAAACAGCCATCCTTGCCATAACTGGATCTCCCACTAGGACGCTTTCATGTAGGATGCATGAGATTTATTCTCTGGGATTCTTCTGAGACTGCCCATCCATTTTCTCCACTCAAAGTCTGCTTTTG